GCAGCCCAGAAGTGGATGTACGGGGGCTTGGACACCAACATCTTCCTGCAGTACATGGCCTGGGTCACCTACCCCGTGGTGCTCATCACCTTCTCGGCCGGCTTCACCCAGATCCTGGCCCCGCAGGCCGTGGGTAGGAGCCAGCCCCTGCCCCTCGGGATCCCCCAGCCCACTCTGCGGGACCACGCCGGGGGAAATCACCCCTCCTGTGCCCAGCTTTCCGGCCTGGGGGTGGGGGGCTAGACCTGGATCTCCCCTCCCCCCCAAAGGGCCGTGAGGGAGGAGGGAGTGGGGGCTACAGCCCCTCTCTCTGGGTGCTCACCCATCCCCTTCCCCAGGCTCAGGCATCCCCGAGATGAAGACCATTCTCCGAGGTGTGGTGCTGAAGGAGTATCTCACCCTCAAGACCTTCGTGGCCAAGGTCATCGGCCTGACCTGTGCACTGGGCAGCGGGATGCCCCTGGGCAAGGAGGTAAGGGGCAGGGGAGCTGCTGGGCCATGTCTAGAGGGGGCAGAAGCTGGGTGCCAGGTGCGGTGGGCAGGCAGCCCTACCGGGGAGAGGGGGGGACATGTACCAGGAGTGGTGGGCGGGTGGCTCTGCCGGGGGGAGGGGGGCCGTGTACCGGGGGTGGTGGGCAGGTGGCCCTACGCGGGGGGGCATGTGCCAACTGAGGTGGGCGGGTGGCCCTGCCAGTAAGCGAGTCTTCCCACAAGGCTCCCTGCTTTGAGGCTGGGTGCCCGTGGTAACCGGTCCCTGGCACTCTTCCCACAGGGGCCCTTTGTCCACATTGCCAGCATGTGCGCCACCCTGCTCAGCAAATTCCTCTCCCTCTTTGGAGGCATCTACGAGGTGAGAGGCCGACGCTGTGCGCCCTGCGGGTGCTGACCGAACGGGTACCAGGGGCCGGGCCGGGCTGGGAATGCAAGTGTATATGAGAGCGGGGGGCTCTCAGGTCCGCGGAGGGATCCCCTGGCTGAGGGGCAGGAGGTTTGTCCTCTCTGACCCTGGTAGGGGAGTGTCTCTGGCCGTGGCTGGGCAGGGCGGGAAGATGGCTCTGGCCGTGGCAGGGGAGAGGGTGAGCCCCACGGGGGGGTGTCTCCGGACGTGGCGGGAGAGGGTGAGCCCCACAGGGGGTGTCTCCAACAATGGCGGGGGAGAGGGTGAGCCCCACGGTGGGTGTCTCCGGATGTGGCAGGGGAGAGGGTGAGCCCCATGGGGGGTGTCTCCAGCCCTGGCAGGGGAGAGGGTGAGCCCTGGGAGGAGTCTTTCCGGCCCTGGCTGCCTGGGGTGTGTCCCCACAGGGAGCTCCCGCCCGGGCGCTGCCCTCCATCGTCTCCTGCTCTCCCTTGCCTTGCAGAACGAGTCCCGCAATATCGAGATGCTGGCGGCTGCCTGTGCCGTGGGCGTCGGCTGCTGCTTTGCTGCCCCCATTGGAGGTAGGGCCGGCCGTGCGGGCTGTGGGTCTGGACCCCGCCCGCCTCTCCCCTGCCCTGCCTGATCCCACAGCTCCCCATGGCTCTGAGCTAACCGAACCCTCCAGCAGGGCAGCGTGGGAGCTGTGCCTGGCCAGGGGGCCCCATCCCCCCCACAGGCCTTCGCACCTCGTGTCCCCAAGACCCTGATCTGGTGGGAACAGCCACCCGGCCGGGGAGGCCGGCACACCTGGGCCTGGCTGGCCATCAACTTGGCCAGGAGCGAGGCCTGTGACAGGCCACAGCCTCTGCCCCCCAAGTCACTGGTATCCCCACTTGACACCCCCCATGCGACGGGGGATGGACACAGGTGGGTGCTATGGGGGGTGCAGGCCAGATGAACACAGGGCTTTGGGCCCAGCCCCCCGCTTTCCTCTCTCCTCACAGCTGTGGCCAGTTTAGCCCCCAATCCCCCCCACTCGGCCCTCGTGTTGCCTCTCGCTTTCCCCTCCAACTGCAGGGAAGCCGCTCCCCCACCGCCCTGCCTATGCCCCGGGCACACAGCCCCAAGGGCACCATCCCAGTCTGTACGGGCCTCCCGGGATGGAGCCCAGCAGCACCCCACCTCAATGCTGCAGGTACCCTGGGCTCCAGAGACGCTCACAGGCCTCCCGGGTACCTAGAGGGGTCCCCAAGGCTCTGTGCCCATGGCAGGGGTGGCAGAGGCCGCTGCATGGGGGGCACTCCCCCCAGAAGATGTAATGTCTCCTCCTTTCCCCTCCGCTCTGCGCTCCAGGGAGGCCCAGCTCCGGCCCCACGGCTCCCTCGCAGCTTTGCACTCCTAGGTTGGTGACGTGTCTAACTCTTTGCTTGTTCCCTCCATGCTGGGCAGTGTCCCCGTCCGTCCGTCTGTGTATGCTTGTCCCTCCTGCTTGCCCAAGCCAGGCTGTCAGTGCCATACCCCCCCAAGATGGGCTGGCCCCTGCTTGCACCCCAGCACTGCCCACTCATTCGCACTGCGCCCCCAGGCGGGACCCGCTCCCTGTTGGGGATAACTGCCCACCTGGCTGAAGAGGGAGCCCCTTGGCTCTGGTAGGGGGTGGCTCGGGGCCGTCTCCCAGCTGGCGTCCTCACCTCAGAGTCAACCAGCTGCAAATTGCTACTGTGCCCATACGGGGCTAACCACACGGACCCACGGTGCCCACCTAACCCCAGGAGCTGCCCATGCAGTTACAGTCTGGTCCCAAGTGGCCTTGGCACACGAATGTAAAGCCTGGAGAAGAGGAGATGCCCCAGGAGGTGTGTCTGGGTCTGGTGCCCCCTTGGCCAGCCCCTGCGTGGACTGTGCGTGGGCAGGCAGAGAGGCACGTCTCAGGGCCGTGGGCCGTCTGGAGCAGAGCCCCCGGTGTGCCAAGGGGTCATGGTGGCACCGCTTCTTCCCCTCCCCTCTGCTCCTCCCAGGCGTCCTCTTCAGCATCGAGGTCACGTCCACCTTCTTCGCCGTCCGCAATTATTGGCGTGGCTTCTTCGCCGCCACCTTCAGTGCCTTCATCTTCCGCGTGCTCGCCGTGTGGAACAAGGACGAAGGTACAGCCTGCCCAGCCCCCCAGGGAACCGGCCCCTCCAGCCTGCACCGGCTACTGCCCTGCTGGGATTGAGGGGCACTG